ACAGTTTCGAGGGTATCAGTGCATGGCTCCTCTTGACAGTAGCTACTCCTTCTCTCTCCCCAGCCATCCCCACCTCTTGTAGTGCCTGTGGTAGCAGCAGTAGCTCACTTTCTCTAGGCGAGACAAAGGCAGCTGTACGGACCTGCCTCAGACCCCTCCACTCATCCAGTAGTGGCAGGCACTATCTAGTCACGGTCACAGTCAGTGACAGTGACCCACGCACCAGGTAGAGGGAAGCTGGAAGGCTGCGTGTCCAGTTGGCGAAACGGCCCAAAACCAGGTTCCACGGAGAGGATCCCATGTCAGGATCTGCTCCCAGCATCAGCCTTTCAACATTCTGGGTTCTGGAGGATTCTGGCTCAACGCCTTGCAGTACTGTGCTGGGCACCACACAGTCCTGGGGAAGCGCAGGGAGAGCCACGCTGGAGGACAGCATCTTTCCCAAGTAACATTCATGCATTTTCTACCATTATTTGTTAAGAGTCATTAAAGAACACCTGGGATCCGGATGTTTAATTCTGACCCTAACTATGTATGTGTGAGAACCCCCTTACATAGTCCATGCAGCTATATAGTAGCCCAGTATACTCAGAAATTCTGAACGCTCTCACATAGGGAGAAGACAACTTTGGGCTGCATCATCAACAGTGTCCTAAATGGCCCCGTGTTGTCTGCCTGCTGATATTTTTGTCTTAACTTATCCAAAATATCTCTAGGCTAATGAGGACCATGTGCCAGTGACACTTCATTTAAAAAGGAAAAAAAAAAAAAGGAAGTTGGTGTTGTGGCATGTAGATATTAAAAAAATAAATCAAATAAAACTTGGCATTGTAAATGGAAATCAATGGACTGCAAAATTGTATTTGTTCTAGATGGGTAGAGTACTTGCCGAGTTTCAAGCTGTTTGTCCCTTTCCAAGGAGAGACAAGGTCTGCTCCATTTGTACTGTAATTGCAAGGCTGTTGTGAAATAAGACTTGGGCCCTTCCACCTTCAAAACAGTTTATATATATAAGAAAAAATTAATCTCACAACAACCCACGAGACACAAATCCTAGCCCTCATTTACAGAGAGGATGAAGGGAAACTGGATGGTTTCTTTAAAGCCATGAAGCAAGTATGTTAGAGGTAAAACTTTTGACTCTTGGTCTTATACTGAGAAATTCTGACTACGTCCCTCTTAAAATTCTTTCAGTATCTCCAAACTGCAGTCAGCATAGTATGCGAATAATAATAATTAATGATAAAGCACTGTAGTGGATAGCAAGTATACAGTTGCCCCCTAATTCCACGTGACACCTGGCTAGCTGTAACTTTCAGCTCAGGAGAAAGAATAACACAAATATATATATATATATATATATATATATATATATATAAAACACACCTGAAGACGTCACAGGGGACAGTGTTGTTTCTCATCTGTACTACACCCAACTTTGCTGCTTTCCTGCAAATCTCGATCTTTTTATAAATCTTAAGAAAATGATATATGACCTAAAACTCTGTTCAACTGAAATATTTACATATTACCATAACAGGAATATTTTAATGTGTTCCACATGAACAGCCCATTATTACCAAGATATCTACAATATCTGCTTTTTGTCTTCTTCCCTACTCTGTAATGTTGAAAATTATGATTATTCATATTTGACATAGAAACAAACAGCATTTCTTACATGTTACCATTGACTCTCAGAGCATATAACTACCATATAAAAGCTAAATTGTGCTAAGGATTTTTATCATGCTGAATTGCATTGGTCAAAAACCTCCAGAACTCTTTTCCCAGGATTTTCACATGTACAGTCCCTGAGAACTGAAGCTTTCATTTCATTTTCCAAAGACAAAGGGATTTTAAACTTGTCACCTTGAGGATAGGAAGGCAATGACATGTAGCTTGCAAGGCTGAAGAGGGTTGTTTTCAGGCTGGAGAAGGTACAACTGGATGGGAAGTTGGGGAACCAGAATAAGACCTGCCAACTCTGACAACAGGATAAGGTGAAAGCTAAAAAGAGGAGACAGGTAAAATGAACACATTCTTGAGAGTCCAAACAGGTGATGCTTGAGGTTAGAACAAGGCAGTAAAAGATTATTAGGACAAAATACAAAGAATCTGGAATTCGTGACTTTTAACTGTGACCTTCCAGTGCTCTGTCTGCAGGAGGAACCTGTTCCAGACACCAGGACTGTCCTACCAGAGAGTTGTGTCTTCTATAATAATTCTCCAAAAATTTTAACCGTATGGAGTATGCTATGCAAAGCAGTTATCAAAAAATAGATACCAGTTCTGTCCTTGATATTAAATAGGATCATTTGGATTACTGCAATCAAATATTTAAAAAAAGCATTCATTACGAATGTGAATTTACATCCCCTCGATTGTAGAAATGATCAGAAGGATATCTGATTTAAAATTAGCATTCTTTAAGTAAGGCTTAAAAATTGAATTGATTGGAGAATAATGGCTTATCCAACTCTTTGCTGCCTTCAACTCTTGCATGTACCTATTACCAACATCTTTAAAATAGGAAGTAACTTTTTCTTAAGAAATATATAGACCATTATTTTCAGCCCATATCAGTTAGACAGCCCTGATCAGTTTGGGGCAAGAGTTATTTTGGGTTGGTTCCACTGAGATGAGAATGGTGATGGAGCCAGGTAATTCCTTATGTCAGTGCTCTTGATTAACACTGAATGCAGGAAGCCCTTTGTCCTTGAACTATTAAAACGAAAGCCAAACAAGAAGCTACGAGTTCTGTTTGCAATTTCAAGTGTCTTTTGCTTGAAAGCATTGTGCCCAAAATCCCTCCTTCGGCTTTTGTTTGGAGTCATGCTCTGGGGCCTCCTCCAGCTACACCTGAGCCTTCTTGGTGCTCTGTCCCATTTCTGTCTCTCTTTTATCCCCCAAGGAAATTGCTGCCTTCAAGTTGATCTCTACTTTAATGAGTAGATCAGCCCTTAGGCAAAGCACCCTGCTGCTCCGTTCAGATTCCTCAAGAGCCTTATGGGGAGCCTGCCCAGCTCCAATTGTTTCAGTTATCTGTAAGTGGAAGAATGGTTAATTATTCTCTTCTCACCTGAATGGTTGGCATCCATCAGGAACATCAGCCCAAGCCTGCAGGATATACTGAATCCTTTCTGAAACGCCCTAAACTCAGTCAGCATTGTTGTAAATGCTCTCCTACCACAACTGCTGCTTCCTGAGACTGTAGTCAAAGAGCTGGGGCTCCAGTGTCATCCAGCCCAGCACCAGGGGCTCCCCATGCTTTGTACGCCCCGCTGTCATTTCCAGACACTGCTTTTCTGAACAAGAGGTGTTAGGCTACGGGGAACCATTTGGGGCTTGACTCTGCCGCTCCTGCTATTACCTTGACTTTGAGCTAGTATTATCTGTGATGACTTTTTGTCTGTCTACAACTTCCTGACATGCATAACTAGACACTGCAGTGGAAATGCTGTTAAATAGGAACCTGCCTAAGACTTCCTGTGTTCCATCATGCCCAGGTGCCAACTGCCGTGATCTTGGACACTCCTCAACACTGCCACCCTTGCACCCCGCTGTCCAGGCTGGAGACAAATCTTTCAACTGCCCTATGGACAAAAAGGGAATATCTTTTCTTCTTCAGAGGCTACATAGAGGGAAATTTGTGTTATTATGGTAAAGGAAAAGTCTATCTGCAATGAATAGACAAGCTCTAGCTGTCAGCATAAAACATTTATAGAGTATATGCTGAAGGAAAGGCAGATTATTTCTTGGGGATTATAGTCCTTCTTTTCATCCTTTTTGGTTCAGTCGTTTCTTACTCCATTTCTTGTCTGTCAGCAACCTAGTTCCCCTTATATTTCAGAAGAAATGTGCTGAATGGCAGATCACAGGCCAATCACTCAGCTGATGCTAACTGACATCCATACTTTAAGCTAAACCAAGTGATCTTTGGCCCTAACAGAAGCAAAAGTCAACCATATGTACACAATACATACACACAGAGGGAGCAGCAAAAAAACAACAAACCAAAACAACAACAAAAAAAAAAACAACAAAACCAAACCCAGGCCACACTACTCCAAAGATTATAAGCAACTAAGCAGAACAAAGGTCTATTCCAAAATCCTAAAAATCGGTGTAAGGGTTTTTTTATGGCTGATAACATACCGTGCCCCACTGTTAAACTGAGGGTTTTTTATAGCTGAACAAAGCCTAACGATCAGCTTTTACGTAGCACATCTCATAAAAAAAATGAGAAAGTGCTCTACCAGGAAGGTCAATATTGTTATCTCCGTTTCTTGGAAAGGCAAGCTGAGCAGCAGAGGGTAGAGGTAAGGTGCCTAAGGTGCCTTAATTAGAGGGGTGTAGGAGTGCAGAAGACGACTTCCCCGGTCCAGAACTCAGTAGCAAGGATAAAAAGGCCAACCTTTCTTTACTCGGGCGGTTACACACGCACAACCCTGTTTATAGTAGGAACGTTTCCTGACCACCGCGAACACTAACTCAGCTCCACCAACCGCGCTGAGCGTGCCTGCGGCAGCCAGGACCGCGTCCACGCTGGGGGAACGGGCAGAGGAACAGGTTCCTGCACTGTCAGCTGGAGTATGAAATTACAGCACTTCAGCTGCTTCGCAGGAGCGGCCGCACGCGCGCCCGGCCGCCGCCGCGGAGGCAAGGCTGCGCGCCCTTCCACGGCGTGGTGTCAACCGGGCGCTGGGGAGGGGACAGGTCGGGGAGGAAGCTGGGGCTGGGCTGGTGTTTACTGAATCTATCACTGCTCAGCTGTCCCAGCCGGTGCGTCCTTACCATGCTGCTGAAGCTCCAGTGTCCAGCCGGGAGCTGGCGCACTGCAGCCTAAGGCTGACCCGGCACGGCGTCTGCAGCTGTAACGGGGTCAGCCCCTCTGCAGAGCAGCCCCAAGGAAAGATCCCGTCTCCTGACCCCAAGGGACTGCTCATCGACCCGAAGTCCCGCTCCTAACTGCTCTGGGAAGCAAGTAAATGACGCAGTAACATTTATTGTTTGATTTAATGTGAAATGTACAGAGCAATTAAACCCAGGGCAATAAACAGTGGGGATTACGAAAGGGGGCATAACCACACACACACACATGTGCAGTGAGTAGCAGGTTCCTTTTCTTGGTCCTAGTCTGATCCTTGGTCTGTGAGGAATGGATCATCCATCTGGGAGAAGCCTTGGCTGCGTGTGCCACTGGCCTGGCCTGCTGGCCCTGGTTTCCCACGTGCTGCCGGCGAGCGGAGAGTGACCCTCTTCCCACAGAGTTAAGGGTTCTCCACTGGGGAGAGAGGGCAGGATCGCTCTCTCTGTCCTTCTACATGTGCAGGAAAAAAACCAAACCACCTCTCCAGATTACTCATTAACACAAATTGCCTTCTGTTCTTATCTCACTCTGCTGGTACGTTGCACTAACAGCCTTTCAGGAAGACTCTGAGAACCCTGTGAAGGTCCTCCATGTGACTTCAGACTCGGTGGGGACCTGCCAGTGGCCATCCCTTTACTTGAGCAAGCAGCCTCAGCAAGGAAAGCTATGGTGCAAGGCTCACCTCTTCAGTAAGGCTGCTCCATTTGCCTCCTGAATGAGTCACAAACTGTGGTTTCCACATTTAAATCCCAGCAACATCCTCTGCAGCCAGCTACCCTGTTGGTCGGTCTGCTTCTCAGCTCAATGTAGGAAAAATCTAGGAGCAGTTAGTCTCCCAATAATGATGTATATAGCAGACTGTGCATCTATGTGTTGTCATGGAGACGCATCTGAAGGTTTTGCCAGTTGGGTTTCTTCTGCATCACACATTTGTACAGAAATTAGGTTTTGACAAAAATACAGTATCCAAAGTTTTCCAGAGCATAAGTGGAACATAGATCTGTGTCAGAGCAGATCAGGTCACCTTATTCATGGTAACTTGCATGGGCCTTAATTTTTTATTTTCCACCTAAATTGCTCCTGATTCCTTACCCGCATAACATCACCAAGTTCAGGGAATTAAGCTAGTTGAAAATAATTGAGGGGGAAAAGAAACAGGCCATATGTTTTAAAAGCAATGATTAAAAAATGCAAGATGACAGAATATAATAGACTTCTGCAAATACAGTGGGACTGAAATAACCAGTTGGGGAGTTGCCCTTAACTGTTAAACTGAGACATCTGAAACCTCCATAGTTTTCCACCTTTACTTGATGTTTTTAAGGTAAGCAATTTTACTGCTTGTGTCTATCTTATTATTTATTTTCTATTAATATTATCACAAATTTAATACAAGGTATTTTAGTTAAACAGGGACTTTTTAAATATATATTTTAAAAGCAGAAAGAATTAATCAATTTCTAAATCTCAACTTGTCAATAAAAGACAAATCATGTGGCCAATGGAAATCATATTCCAAATAGCACAGTAAACACCTGCCATCGAACAGGCCAAGGACTGATCAACTAATTATGTAATCAGAAGCAAACCTGAGAAGACACCACCAGTTTACAACCTGCAGACCATCTTCAATCTGAGCATTTTTTAAAAAATATCATCTTAGTCTTTCTACATAACATCCTTACAGTATAGCCTTTTCTATCTATCCACGCAGTTAAACCTCTCACCTATCCAACCTCTCCTCTAATTGTGCTAGATGAATTTTTTTAATTGCACTTGGAATTGACAGTCAGCTGTTGGCCTCCTCCTGAAGCTATTTAGATTTGAGATGACTCTAGAGAACCTGCTGAATTTCCATACCACTGTTAGTGCAGATCCACTGACTGAGAAAAGCTCCCTTGTGTCTGTTGACATGAATAATCTCCAACATTTTTAATATAGGCTGCCTTTGCCAGTTGGCTGACACTTGTGCTATGCCATGAATAAATGCTATTTGATGACAGTTGAGAAACGGACGTGAGACACTTGCTGCTATATTTCCTCTGCTCTAAGGGAGCTAGTCCCTATTGTTTGTCATGGGCCGGAATGTAAAGATGTTAAAGGCAACCTGAACACAGCCAGTGATGACGTGGTGGTGCAAGGCAATACAGAGAAGTGAGACCCCAAACCTCTTCTAATAGCCTGCTTTGTATTTATCTTCCTTGAAAAGCTGTGCTGCCTACAGGAAGTTTAAGTTGCTATAAATTTAAGTGCATTAAAATGCATTTTTATGCATTTACCTAGCTAGAATGTCCAAAGTATGCCTTCACATCAACATAGAAAAGATTCCTCTTACTGCCCAGCTAGAGAAAGTTTAGTTTTCATGATGAAAGATTTAATTTACAGTTTTAATTCAGAGATTAATAATGAATGGTTACTTACCAGTGACTGCTGTTCTTCAAAAGACCCTTGTGTGTTTGTACCCGTGAGGTGTGCACTATAGGAGAACCATGAATTCCTGGTGTGAAGAACATGCACTCTAGGAAAACCACATGGGACAACAGCTCAGGTGACTCTGCATAAGTGCGTGTGGGGTGTTAGTGCTAGCAAGGAAGAAAAATATAGGGATTCAAGGTAGAAGAGGGAAAATATTTGGCTAACAGAAAATGGAAGATGGATTGAGGTGTCAGAGGAGCATGAAGAAAAAAGCAAAATTGAACCATCCAAGAACAAGATAAAAGGAGCAGAAAGGAGGGATGACTGGGGGAGTACAGGCAGGAGGAGGAGTGGGAGGAACGAGATCAAAGGCAAACTAAACATTACGCAGGGCCTTGAAGGGGAAGATAGGGGGATTTAATTGGAGGCTGAAAGAGACATGAAATCAGTGGGATTTGAGGGAGGTGGGCTGGTGCGTCACAGCTGTGGGATTTTTAGAAGGAGACTTCTGAGCAAACTGGGGCCAAGAAGGACAGGCTGCTGCAGCACAAATATCTACTGCATGCATAAGAGTCTTTTTAAGATGGACAGTAAAGGAAAGGTAGTTTTTAAAGAAGATTTAATACAGCCTAATACTTTAGGAGTCAAAGCTTACAGATAACCCATTAAAGTCTTTTGTTACCAAAAAAACCCCAACAAACACGATGACAGGTAGATAGAGCACGTGGTATACTCAGCAGGCAAAAGTGCTTAAAATATATCCGGTGGCCTGCTAAAAAATCAACAAGAAAATGGCTGTAATTCTCAAACAGAGCAGTCACTTGATTCCAGCTCAAGCTGAAACTCACCCTGGGTTTTGCACTTACTGATAAGTAATAATAAACAGAATTACAGGTTAGTCAAAGTTTTCTTTCCCACTAAGTCCTTACCAGAGTTTTCTCTGAAAACCCGACCCAGCTGAGAGAGGCACTGCCCTCTCCCCTGTTGTCAGATCAGAGCTGGAGCTGACAAAATGCACCTGCCATAGCGACTCACCAGTAACGACCCTGCACCTTCAAGATAAAGTTTCAAGCACCTGATATTAGCATGACGCAGATGAGCTCTGCTGTCTCTGCCTACAGGCCTGGACTTTTGCAGAGTGTTGGGTTGTCACGGGGAACCTTGGACCTTTGCAGTGGTGGTGCTGCTGCCTGGGGCTTCACACGAAGAGAGATGAGGTGATGCTTCATAGCTGTCACTGGGAAAGTTAGGCCTGTGCTCTCCAGCAAATAGCTGAGACAAGAATCTGCATGAAACCAGCTGAAGCAGCATGAGAAAAATCAGAAGAGAGAGAGAATTATTTTACCCCAAGAAGAGGGGAAAAAATGGTGTGCATACATAGACAGTGTCCTGGTGGTTACAAGGTGAGACATGGTGACGCAATGATGGCGTAATTTCCAGAATATCTGTTGAGCAGAGGATGCTTTAGAAAGCTCTGTTAGCCAGATCAGCTTTTGGGGTGTGTGACTAACAGCAATAGGCCATAATGATTACTTTAAAAACATCACTTCAAGCACAGTTTTCTCCTGATTATCACGAGAGCACATTTCTGGCACAAAGTGCCTCTGTACAGTATATCTTGGTAGTATCTGAAGCTAGCATTCAGCTCTAGGCAAAGATGTTAAAAGCAGTATACCGTTTTGCTCTTGCAAGGGAGAATCTTACAATTAGGCCATCTGCTACCTTCCACACCAGCAACAGCTCAGCCTCATATTTGCTCATAGAACCAGGGCTGGCAACTAAATAGCAGCCCTTCCCCCCCCCCCCCTTCCTCTCAACATGAACATCTATACCCTTTGCCTGCTGTACCACAGCTCCTCTTCTGCAGCACCCACCAGAGATTTCCTTCTTCACCTGAAAATGGACAAGCTGCTGTGTCCCCGTGCCATGCATGTCCCTGTGATGGATCTCTGCCCTCTCCTTTTGCCCCAGCTTCAGCTCCCTTGAGCCGCTGCTGCCACGGCCCTAGGTGGGGAGGTCTGATACTGGTATTGCAGAGGGTGGAGCTGCAGCTCCCTGCATCATGTCAAGCAGTCACTGTCAGAACAGAGCCTCCTCAGCACCTGGTGTGCCTGCTCTCATGTAGCTTGAGCCTCCTTGGGGCAAATCTTCTGTTTCAAAGTAGACTGAGAAAATGGCTGATAGGCCACCCTGATTTCAGCCTTCCTGCAGACAGCAAGAGAGGGTCCCATAATACTGTGTCTCTACAAGTAACTGCACCCTGGTGTAGAGACACCCACCCTACTTCGCAATGCAGCGGCCAGCTGTGGTGGTGTGGAGCTCAGCACAGCTGGGCACCTTTGCACTTCCATCAAACCCAGCTTCTCCCACAGCCTCAGCAGCCCAAATCCACGTTCCTGCAGGACACCACAGGCCCCTGGGCAGAGACTCCACTAGCTCCTTCTCCCATGTGCTCACTGCACAGCACTGGCACCATGGCATGCTGACCACAGCTCCTCTGTGCTTGCATGTAGTCTTCCCCTTCCATTCCCAGACTGTGCCCTTGCCCTTGCTGCACTCATCAGGCATCCTCCTGTCCTCCACCTCTCTGCAGAAGACAGCTGTCTTCAGTAGGCTGCTGGCGGGTAGTATGCTTGACTCATAATGGTTTTCTTTCTTTTAAGAAAGATGGATATCTCTGAAGTTGGTAATTTTTATGTCTCTCAAATTCATAATCCTGTGATCGCTGCGATATTCGGCATCTGAGTTACTACAGCACAGTGGCTGGATGCAGCGGCATGCTCGGAGGCTGAGTGCCAGGCTGGGAGCAGATAAACACACTGCACTCGCTTTATAAGAACAGAGCAACTCCGTGCTCTCAGATACAACGTTTCGCCTTCTTTCAGCACATCCAACACATTAGCATGTTTTCAGCAGGAACTGAAGACCCAAACGCAAGAAGGCAGATCTTGGGCTTAGCTTCACAATTACTTCTCCTCTGACAGTTTTGCAGAAAGCTAAATATTCATGCACTCCTATTAGCATGTGTTTCTTTAAGAGGGCTTGTTCTCTTAGTGCTAATCCAGACTGAATTGCCGAGCGCAGGAGCACAATGGCATTTTGCTTACAGTGCTGGATGAATTCACCCGCGGGGCAGCACCTTAGTGCAGGGACCCCTGCATCACCCAGACAATGACACGGGGCTCGCTCGGCTCATTTCAGTGAGCCGTGTTTTCCCTTGGTGGGCTCTCCAGCTCGGACAGACATTTGAAATGGGAGGTGGTCTGGCTCGATGGAGATGATGTTTGTCATGGGGAAGAGGATGCGTTCGTGCTGCCAGGCAACCGGCTCTGCAGCGCCCGTGCCAATGGCTGCAAACACCTCTGCAGAGGCAGGTCTAGAGGAGCAGCGGCCAACCCGGGGCTGCTCGCTGCTGGGGGGCCCCCATCACCCCATGGAGCCCGGGGGGCGGCACAGCTGCTCCCACAGGGGCCCCCGCGGAGGCAAAGTGGGGAGATGGGGCTGTGGCCCCTCCCCTGCCTGCCTGGGGGTCCCCGTCCGGGGGCCGGGCAGGGCTCTCGGGGAGCCCAGTGCCGCCTGCACTGATGGAGATTTTCCACCGTTCTTCCAGCTGCGTTTTGGGTCGGTGCTGCTCAGGGGCTGTGAGGAGTATGCCCTTGCGGTGCAGGCCCAGATGAGGGGCTGCTGTTTGCATGGCAGTGCTGCAGGAGGGTCTGCGCAGAGCCCCCCGCCCTCCCTCAGCACACATCCTCAGGCCCATGGGGGCATTTCACCCCTTCTGCAGTGAGTTGTGCCAGCCCTGACCGCTCACCCCTCTCCATCCTGTTGGCAGGGCCTCACTGTGGGGCTGGCACAACCCAGGCACTCCTTTGCTCGCCCAATTTTCACCCTGTATTTGCACCCCAAGGAAGCAAGCCCCTTCTCATCCTCTCTGCTACACCTTCAGCCACCCCTGGCAGGGGTGAAGGGAGTGGGAAAGAGGAGGGACCCAGACCAGTGTTGGCACCGACATGGGGAGGAGGTGCAGTTGCTGTTTTGGCTGATGGGCTCGGGAGGGAAATCTACTCTGCTCCTAGTCTGGGTCATGAATTTCTTTCCCCAAGCCCTGCTGAAATTTGCCACACATAGCTTGTCAACTGAGGATACAATAGATTTTATTCATGGCAGATATGCATACACACATATATATATGCATGAAAAACTCATTCAGTAGGATTAGGCAAAATTACCCTAGGGTGTGCAAAACAGCAGTGCCATCCGCTGCAAGTATGCCCTTTGCTTATTCATGTTGATAAACAACTTTGATTTCTTCCAGTCTCTCACTCCAGGAATATACTTGCAAAGACAGTGTGGAGGCCTTTGTATTAAGCATTTCAAGAAGTCTTCATGTAGTGATAGTTAGGCCCCTGTGATCTTCTATTTCATGGGGAAATTTTTATTCAGATTTTAATTTAGTTTTTATTTTACAGTTTAGGGGCAGTTACCTGGAATACCAAGGAGCACATCTTGTTCCGTCCTGCTTTGTCCATGGACAGGATTTGGCCATAAGTCCAGTGGGAGAGACGTAACTTATTTGGAGATGTGCAGATGACATGTACTCTTGCCACTTCGCACAGCTCAAACCCTAGAAATACCAATGTGAGGTGAGAGCAGGTGAAGAGAAAGGCAAGACTAGATAATTTATTGCAGCTCCCCTCCTATGGTAGCAACAGATAAATCTCCACGGATGAAATGTTTGCAGAAGAAGTTGGAAGCTGGGGGATAGGAGCCATGTCCCTTCTGGATCCCAGGAGCAATTTCCTTGCAGCACGGGGGCTGGACACCGGGCGCAGCGGGCAGAAGTGCAACAGCGGTAGTGAAGTGCAGTCCAGAAACAGCGTTTGTTCCTGAAGCTCCCTCCCAGTTTCCCCAAATTTCATCACTTCTGCTTGTGGCGAGGCAGGTGGCAGGGCTTCCCAATGCAGATGCCTGTAGGAGGCAGAGCACTGCCTCCTCCAGCGCCTGTGGGTGCAGGAGACCGAGCCTCCACCGGACGGATCAGCCCCGACCAGGAGGCAGACTGGCACAGTCGTGCACAACGCTGCCTGATGATTCACTCCAACCAGCTTCGCATTCCCTTGGGAACACAGAAGGGAGGCAGGGAACAAATCAGCACCCTGCAAACCTGGTTTCCCCGTACCTAAGTTTACCCTTTTAGTGAGCCTCTGCCCTTTACTTAAAGAGAGTACGGAAAACCTGTGAGAATAAACACCATTAAGGATTATTGTTAGGAGGTATGAAGCAAGGATTTAGACTACTGCCCCGAACTCTCCTCAGTCCTAATAAGAGGTAAGGGGTGAGCTTCAGGGTTGTCATGCCACCTGGGCAAGCTGTGGCAATGCAAAGGGCTACCAGTAGGCCACTGGGCTGGCCTGGAAATAGCTTTTTTAACAGAGTAAAAATACCTGACTTTGACAGACAGCATGCTGGTTTGTGTATGTGTAATTTGCCGTGATCATGCTATAAATCAAGATGATACTGCTAAA